TCGAAGTCCAATACAAGCTCATACTGATACTGAATTTGTTTATAGTGATAATGACGTTCCATTTAGAAAGAGAATCAGAAATGGGAAATCTTTATTTGATGGTTTTTTGTCTGATGCAGAAGATTCTGATACTTCATTAAGTGACAACCCTTTTGTGCTATCAAGAAAGGCAAGCTTACAGCACAGCAAAGCTAATCAATCTAAATTAAGTGTTAATATAAGAAAAAAAAGTGAGCCAAATCTTACAGATATTGAATATATTGATGGATTTAATACGAAAGGTAAGTCTAAAATGGGAAAGTTACAAAAGGTAAAGAATTCTTCAACAGGAAAGAAAAATATACCCGCTGTAAGAAGAACTTCTGATAAACAAAAAAAAATTAAAAGTAAGAATTTAAATGAAAATAACTTGGACTTTCTGCCAGTGAAGTCAGAAAATGATGGCGCCACTGATATAGAAGAATTCGACAAAGAAGACATTGAAAGTGATATTGACATTGAAACTCCAGCATATATCCCTGAGACCAAGGGTCATATAGTTATTTCAAACCAGAATTCAAAGGGTGACATTGCTCTTATAATACCTATACATAAATCTTCTGGTTCAAGACTTTCGATCATGGAATTAAATGATTGCGGATACTCAGATGTTGAAGAATTACAAGATTACTGTGCTGAAGAAACTGTGCTACTTTGTCCTTCACCAGACCCTCCTATATTTGAATCATCTTTTGTTCAGGCTTCAGAATCCTTTAAAGATAAATCTAAACTACACCTGACAATGGAAGCTTGTGAACCACTAACTGACACTGAAGAAATCAATATCAATAAAAGTTTTAGATCAAAAAAAATGTTTAAAAAAAAACAAAGCCAAATTTCTAACCTTAAACCAGAAGAAATTAATGAAAATTTGACAGATGTTGAAGACTTAGTAATGGAAAAAAGTGATAACTATATTGAAAGCCAGAATTTGGCTTCCTCTCAAATAAATACAGATATTGAAGATTTTAGTGATGATGGAATAAATGAAGAAAAAATTTATCCTGATTTTGATATTATTAGCTCATGTAATATTATCAGAGCTAAAGAAAACTTAGGTCCGTTCTCTCCTGATATGAGATCAAAAATGAATAAGGCTACCATCATTCCTCTTATAAAAACAATTTCGCCTAGCCCAATTCCTTGTAATACTGAAATGGAAGATATGTCTGGGGAAGAAGATATTACACCTTATATTCAATCAGATGATTGCAATTTAGAACCACATTCCTCAACTGTACACATTCGTCATTCTAGAATTTTCAAACCAAAAAGAGATGAATTAAAGGAATTTCTTCAACAAGCAGAGCCACTTACTGATATTGAAGAAATAGAATTTAAAGAAATAGAAAACAATAAATGGAATTGGAAAAAGGGTAACTTTTCAATGAGTTTATTTTCAATTGCCAAGCCTTTATTGAGTTTATCATAATTTTATGTTTGTCTATTGTTAGGAACCTCACAAAAGAAATACAAGATTATGAAGGAGGACCATTTCATAATAATTTTCCTTTTTGGTAGTATATTATGACATGTTTAACATTAAGACCATGAATTACTTTTAATAATAATGAATGAAAAAATCTGGTGCAAAGCACCACACAACTTTCGCTTACCACCCTATTTCAGAAACATTTTTTATTCAAATATATAAAAGTAGACATTATTATCTACATCAATTAAAAGTCATTTTTTTTTTTTTTTTTTTTTTTTTTTTTTTTTTTTTTTTTGTCAATTGCCATTACCTTCTGTGAATATTATTTTATATCTTCATTTTTTATTTTTATCTTTAGCTTTCAAATGGTACATTATGTATCTATATCACGACTCTTATTTTTTTAAATTTGTTTTCATCCCATTAAAATATTTCTCCGATTTCGTCCTTTAGTTAATTATGAAATTCTTTTATAGTTGATATTCATCCTTTTTATAAATTTTTAGTATTACCATTTAAGTGGTCACACTACTTCTATAAGCATAAGGAACTAACTGATATAAAATACCATTAAATAGTGCATTGATATGAATGAGTTTAATAAAAGTTATTTAAGTTGTTATAATAAAAAATTGTAAAAAAGTGAAACTTTTGGTAAGTTGAGGTTAGTAAAAAAAGTTGCTGTAACAATCCAGTTACGTATGCACTACCTTGTAGGTCTTCGTGAGGGCAAAATAGCTGCACAGGTCATACAATATGGGTCGAAAATACTGACATTGAATATATAATTAACAATTATTCTATGTTCATTTGACTTTAACCATCTATACATATAAAAATAATTTATTGAAAAAAAATTAAATAATTTTTTTTCAACATAGAAGAATGTAAAGCTTTTCCTAAATATATCATGTTGAGTTTTCTTACATTTGTGGTCAGTAATGTATTTAAATGAAGATCTGGTTGAACTTAAATTTTCTAAATAGTAATTTAAGTGAGCTATAGCACCCACCTACATCAGATATAATATTAAGATGGTAAGATGAATTATATAATTCATATAATTAAAACTAATAATAAAGTAAGTAAAGACAATCTTTGGTTAATATTATAACATTTACTTTAAATGTATTTAGATTGATTTAACACCTTTTATAATTTTATCCTCTTCTTTATTCTGCATGGTTCCCATTAGTTCATAAAGCTTGCTTATTTTTTTGGTTATATTAATCCTGCTTTCATTAAGATCGCTTAAGATATGTATTTTAAGATTTAATGTTTCATATAAACTTTCAAATGGTATGTTTCTTATTAATATATTGTGTAACATTTTTATTTTTATAAAATATTCAATTCTTTTTATTTATACAGTAATAATAAAATAATATATGTTTTTATATTTTTAGGTTTTCAAATAAATTTTAAAAAATCACATATACAGCATAATTTATTTGATGAAATCATTAATTTATAAAAACAAATATAAAATGTGCAATGAAAACATAAATATACTTTTTTAAGAAGATATTTTAGTAATTATTTTGATGAAGACTGCACGGCTTATGCATGGTTCACAATCACTTTGGTCACATTTATTCATGGAGTGCCAAATGCATTTGGACTTATCCGAAAGCCTGTTTTCGGCATTTCATGAACAAGTGTGCCCGAAGTGATTGTGAACCAGGCATAATCCGTGTGGTCCTTATCTAAATAATTACCGATATTTTATCTTTAAATACAAAAGAAAAGACAACTGGGTAATTGGTTTTGTTTTTGTGAAATATCAGTGAATAATAGTTGGTTTGTTTTTGATAAATAATTAAACATTTTTATAAACTTACACTGAACGAAAAAAAAAAAAATTAAATTCAAATCAATAGTGTTTAGTTTTCTATTTTTTTATGTTTTGATTCAAGTTTTCTCCCTTTGATATGCCTTATGGTCTTTTATAGTAAATGAGCAATAAGATCAATGTAATTTGAATTAGTAAAGTTGAACAATCTAAACAGACCATCCAGCAATCAATTCTTTCTTTTGCAAAACAAAAACTATTTTGTAAATACCCAAACGTTTGAAACACGACATTTCAATTTGGACTTTTGGCTTATATGAAGAGGAACTCTACTCGTTTACTTAACCAGATTATAATTATTCATGCTTTTTTAATTTGCTCCTCTAAAAAAATGATGTTCATGTGTTGGTTTTTGGTATTAAGCTATATGGCCAAGGTTAACCGATTTTAAATTGCAAAATTCAGTCTTAACCTCAAATCTATCCTCGGTCCCATCCTCTACACAGTTTATACAGCTGACATCCCAACCCATCCTGACACTGTCATCACTACTTACGCCGATGACACATGTTTGCTATCTGTTAATAATGATCCTTTAATTGCATCCCAAACTCTTCAATCACATATCACAAGCCTTGAAGAATGGTGTAAAAATTGGAGAATAAAAATAAATTCCAACAAATCCCATCAAATCACCTTTACCCTCCGTCGTAAACCTATGACATCTTGTCCTACAGTAACTTTCAATAATACTCCACTTATTCCTGTTGAGCAGATCCGCTACTTAGGACTCCATTTGGATAAGCGTCTTACTTGGAATCCTCATACTAGACTGAAACGACAAGAAACTGCTCGACGTTTCCAACTGCTCCAACACTTACTAGACAAACGCTCCAAACTTTCTATTAATTACAAAAGACTTATCTACATAACTATAATAAGACCTATATGGACATACGGAGTTGAGCTTTGGGGCTCCACCAAACCATCGAATTCCTATTGTATCCAATCCTTACAATCCAAAATCCTCCGTAAAATCCTTAATGCTCCATACTTTGTCACAAATAAAACCATTCATAAAGACCTTAATGTACCATATGTCGCTGATTTAGCTCGAGCCAGATATCTATCCTTTCATGATAAACTTCAGTCCCATCCAAATCCGCTTGTTTCCACTCTTGCTTCTTTCTCGATTCCTGATAATCCTCCTAGGCGTCTGAAAAGGAGATGGCCTTGTGATCTTCTTACTTAAAATTATTTAGAGAGTGCTACCACTGGGTAGTAACTCTTCAAGCCTGTACATGCCATTATTTATATTTGCGCATATTTACGTTGTATTTGTATACAGTTGTAAATTCCGTTAAATAAAAAAATAAAAAAAAAAAAAAAAACCTCAAATCAACTCCCATAAAATAGTTATTAATATATATAAAACTCTACTTTTTTCTAATAGGATTTTGATTTAACAAGGGATATATGAATTTCATCTCTATCTCAGTTGTCAGTTAATTTTTAAAAATTATAAACAATGATTCAAATTAATTTATATTTTGTTTATTATATCATTTTGGAACAACCAAATTCATCAGTTTATATTATGAAAGCGTTATTTGATTTTTGTTTACAGAACTATTATTTCTTTTAAAATGTTACCTCTTAGGCAATATAAAAAACAACCTTTTTTTATAATGATTTAATGAATACGACTTATTGCATTGACTACATTTATTACAGAACACAAAGAGACAGCTATACACCAAACCATCAAAACAGCAGTTGTAGAAGACATAAAAACCAGTAAGTAGAGATTGAATAAACATTGATATATATTTTAAGTATTTATGCACTTGTCACAAAAATGTTTTATAAAAATCATTTTATAAGGCAATCATTAGAACTTTTTATGTAAGCCAGGAAAATCAAGATGCCTGCATGCTATTACTTTGAATTCATCCTTCCTTTATTTCACTGCTTTTGCTTTACACTTTATATGGTTCTTCAAATTTATGATAAGTTTTCTATTAATTTTGCTAATTATATACCTTAATTTATAGCATACCCCGCTTTAGTTAATTTGCTATCTCTGAATAGTTCTCAAGTAATTAATTAATTTAATATACTATCCTTAAAAAACACTGTAATGAATTTTATCTCTGTAAAAAAAAAAAAAAAAACTTAAGTTTTAGCAGTTAGATATAATTGGTTATACTAAGTGTCAGGAATTTGGTTTTTAACAACAATATGTTATTAGATTTTCTAAAATTAATTAGGACATAATTTAGTAACCTCAAAGGGTTATTTAACAAATTACTTTCTTTGTATTGTTATGAATTAAGTTTTTATTTTAAGAAAAATAACCTTTAAATCCGTCTCTTTTATTATCATAGAACTTTATTAATAGTAAAAGCATTATGTACTCTTACTAGGAGACGTCACAGTCAGTGGGACACTGATTAAAAAAAAATTGTTTTGATGATTTTATATTTAAAAATATTGGACACATGTCCTGGCATTCATTCCAAAAGATTTTTTAATATTATTTTTATAAAATGTATTTTTTTTCTTCACTTTACCCGGATTTCTAGGTTATTATATACCTAGAATTAGTTTGTTACTAATTTATATTAAATTATTATATACCAATTGATTTCTTTTTTTGTACAGAATAAAAAAATATATTGCTGATAGTATAAAACATAAAGTAGGACAAGTCAATTTTTGTTAATTAATAGCAAGTTAGATTTGATTTTAGAATTGACAGCTTTAAAAAAAAAAAAAAATGTATGGTGTGTGCTTAAGACCACACAATAGAAGTGAAAATATCAATTAGCTGGACTTAATAATATGAAACATAAATATTTTTTTGTTCTATATTCAAAAATTAATAATATTTTCAATATATACAATTATAATTGTGTTTATGAGAAGAAGTTGATCGGGGGGTTGCGGTCAAATAAATACTAAATGATAGAAATAGTATTATTTAATTATTATGCTGACATTTCGACCCACCTTCCAGGTTTTCATCAGGGCGTGGGGTGTGGCACTGCGGGAGGCAGTTGAAACACTTTCATTATATATTTATGTTATTGTGTTTATTATATATATATATTTATATATGTCATTATATTCAGTGTTTCAACTGCCTCCCGCAGTGCCACGTCCCACACCCTGATGAAGATCTGTAAGGTGGGTCAAAACTTCGGTATAATAATTAAATAATACTATTTCTATCATTTAGTATTTATTTTACCGCACCCTCCCCCCCTCTCCCAACCCGGCCAATTCCTCATATTATATCAAGGTCAACAATCTGTACATTATAATTGTGTTTAAATTACTCCAGTAAGCTTTGGTCCAACTGATCGTATGATACTGTCAGTATCGTACTCTGAAAATGAAACAATAAGTTTATGATGACTAAAATATATGATGATCATATATTCTCATTATTTTAGTATGATTCATCGTATTTAATTATTACAATATTTAGTATGGAATTCGTTCTGATTTGATTTTTAATACTATATTTTTCCTTTTTTGCCTCTCTAATATGGCGCCAATTCAATATATAATTTGAATAATAGCTCATGCCAAAGAAGGTGAAATGCTGATCTTTTCCCTACTTACAGTATCCAGGTCCAATTTTTAGTTTCTGAGATACTTTATATTCAATACGAAAAAACACTTCAATTAGTCGACTCCAGCCGACTTTACCTGAGCATTACACATCAGAAATTTAAGGGCTTAATTCACTCTCCACCAAAAAGTGCCAAGCATGCCTAAAGAAGTTTTCACTTCAATAAAGAAAGAAAACCTAAGCGTTTTTATTTTATGTGTCCAGTTCTAAGTTGTTTACTGTGCTCAGGTTTATATTGTTTGTAGGGTCCGACATCCCTGATAATTTTGGTATGGATCAATGGGGTTCTCTTGAAGTTATCACAAGTGTTGTGATATTTCCCTAAACTAACTTTTATGCAAAAACCTTTTTTTGTTTTTTTATCGCTTTAAAAATTAGTGTTAAAGGGGTTTTTGAGATGTGAAAAATGAATATCAACATTCTTTCTTCCTAAAGAAATCTTTACCTCAAAATTACCTACATCGGTCCGTTCTATTTAGCTATTCCTAGTAGGAGTACAATAATAAAACCAATATTATTACTATTATCAAACCAATTTTTAAGTTTTTAAAGAAAAAGTTATATGAAGTAATAAAACACGGGATCCATATTTTTGATCTATCAAGCAAGGAGTTTTTTAAACTAAATCTTGACTTATTATTATTTTATAATAATTTGTGATGTATTATTAGTCATTTCTGTATGAAAAAGTGGCAGACAATTATTAGGTCTATTTAGCATATATTTATGAGATGATTAGGATCAAGTTTAACATAAATATTGGTTCGGTTTTAACAGTGTTGGGACATATATACATAAATATACTCAATTATATAGAGCTTGAAAAAAATATATATATGAAAACTAATGGTTGATATCTGAGTAGAGAGGTATTAAGAATGATGCATGATAATCCCATCACCAATTTTCATAGTATTTTTAGCTACTCATTTCAAACCCTATTAGAATCACAGTACCCCTGTTATTAGTTTCACAATTATGTAGCTATCTTTTTGAATCTATTATCACATCTCTTCATTTCTGGAAGTGCAGCAGTGAAACTAATACTTATAGAATATCTCTATAATTATTATATACTATCCACAGATTTTGTCAATTTAAGGAAAATTAATGTGTAAATATAATAAAATATATCTGGCAGAAGTTGAAAAAATAATAAAGACAATGAATTATATTTGTTTCTTCTAACTGTGAATTATATCCGTTTCTTCCTTATGAAGTAACAATCAAATTTTAATTATATAATTATTTTCAATATACTAGTGTAATAATAAAAAATGAAAACATTTAATTATAATTGCTGACTTTAAAAGCTAAATTTTGTTGTCGCCCATTTTTTGACTTAACTTGATACTTTATTTTTTGGTATATTTTAAGCATGGAAACATGCTTCAAATGTATCATGAATTGTATTTAAAATAATATATATATTTTTTAAAATATTATAGTTATGTTTGTTTTGACTTGATCATCCAGTGAAGGATCTCCTTCACTGTTTCTTTTCTTAGACTTTGTTGAAGAATGATTTGTTGCAATGACATATTGTTCTGTTTCTTCTTGGGAAGAGTATATGGGAGTAAGGGAAAATTTCATTCGTTTTTTTTTTGTCCTTGTTTAAATTATTGGTGTGTTAGAATTACTAAGATGCACCCTATATATAAAGCATTTAATTTTTTCTGATCATTTGGTTTTAATTTAGCATTTTTGTGTGTCTGATTTGTTTGCATCTACATTTCATTTTATCCTATTCAGCATAATAATCAAAGGGTTAACGGGCCTGGTTCATTCAGGATCAATCACCAATTCCACCTTCTTACATACTTCCGTCCATTGGCTGCAGTCCAAACCCAACCATGCAAAATCAGCCCTAACACAATCTTCCCACCTTCATTTTGATCTACTCCTCGGATGCTTACCAGTTGGTATAGTGCATTTTATTAATCTTTTAAGGATTTGTTTGTCACTTAGCCAAACAAGTTTACTCGCTCATTTTATTTGCCACAAATTATTCCCTAAAACTTACTGGATACAGTTCATGCAATTCAGTGTTGTGTAACTGTCTAAATTTGCCAGTTAATTTGTCCTTTGCTCCAAATATTTTGTACAATACTTTATTTTTAAAAACCTTAAGGCATTATTCATCTCTTAATGTAAGCAGTCATGTTTTCTATCCATAAATAACCCTAAGAAGGTAATCTTATTATAAAAAGTTAATTTACACAATAATTAACAAATTACGACCTATTTTTCATCTCAAAAATAGATAAGCAACAGATTCCTTTATCATCAATAAACAAAAACTTTTATTTGGTTATATTCTACTTTTTTATTACATTTCGGCCTTTTTGGCAATTTTCAAACTTTTCTTTATAAAAATCACAGCCACCTGTCTATAATTTTTTTGTCTAAATGTTTAAAATTATCTGCTAATATCGTCGTTATAGATTACAGCTTCTTTTGCTCCATCTTGGGATGAAAGATGGGATTCTAATTTGTTAATTATTATATTACTTAGCTTTTTATAAATTATCATTATTGTATCCTAATTTTATATAATCAAGTTAAAGGTGAAAATCATGAAAGTTCTTATTTTATAAATTCTAATTGTTAAGTTTTGGGACACAAGGTGCAAGCTAAACTAATTATAATAACTGAAAAACTATTTTACTAAAACTTCTTAAAATATATAGTTGTTCTTTATTACTTATATTAATAAATATAGGGTAAATTAATGGAATTATTATTGTAGGAAAGTTTCATTCTGTTCAAAACATTATACTGTAGACTCTACATAATTATTGTTATTTCATTAAATATTATTTGTTAAATAGGTAATTAAGAAGTAAACCGTGAACTAAATATTTTTGATCACATTAAATTATACAGTATATATACCGATTACAATCAATTTACCAATTTCTTAATAAAAACCACCACTATCTCTCCATTTAAAAAAAAAAAAGTATGATTCATTCATATGATAATTTTCAAAAATTCTTAGATATTTCACACCTGTTGGTCATATGTTTTTGAGATTCTAACATACTTATTCTTTATGAATGCAGTTTCTTACTCTCTCTTTTTTAATAAATTTTCTTTATTTAACCTTTTTCTTTAAAAATTCAATTTCTAACTCTCATATGATTAATTACATTTG